CTGAAACTGGGTGGTTTGCTAGGAACACGTTACTACCTGCACAACATATACCGGTGTGTTGCTTTGTAAGGTATTCTTATTCTGTCATTTATCAGGTTGGAATTGTAAGCAGTTGTATCATTGTAGGCCATCTGTGTTTCAAGAAAAGAAAAGAGAAGCTAATTGTATGTTCCTTCTGTTATGATATATAACACTTGGCTCTAGACTATGCACAGATTTGATTTCACTTCAAAATCACATCATCATGCTGTCAAGTTGGTGATTACGGTGTCTTTTAATCTTAATTTTTGTCTCAACCTGTTTGGATTTTAGAAAGCAAAACCAGGAGTCATGCTGCCATGTTGTAGAAGTTACTATCTCTCTGCCATATCAACCAAAGCAGTGGATGGTAAACCTGCTTGTTTCATTGTTTCTTATTTATTTATTTATTTATTTATATGATGTTGTGAGCTTAGAAAGATGATTATTTTCCATTCCCATAGATGTGTTCTGCTGATCGTTCACAAGTTAACCCGAAGAAGCCCGTCCAAAAATTCCCTTGCGACGACGCCATGCACAAATGATAGGCCGACCAGATCCATAGGCCCGAATAGATGGAATTCACATTTTGCTTCTTCAGAAATCAGGATGGGCTTGCCTGTAAACAGAAACTCTTACCTCCATGTGTCATAGATTTGGGATGACCTCCTTGTTCCATCTCTGGTTGTAGTTTTCTTCTGAAATTGCTATCTTCTGGCCAAAGTTAAACCTATGGCTGTCGACTGCCTTCCTAGCGGAAGTTTGTTTCTTCTTCTTATATATATATATATATATATATATATATATATATATATATATATATATATATATATATATATCAAAGGTTGCTGCTCATTCTATAAAATGAACTGTTTTATTTTGTAAAACAGAAAACAATTCATTTTCAGAAGTCAGAATCTGAACATGAACCATTGAAAAAAGAAGCACCATGATGAAATGCAACAACATTTACCATTTAATATATAGACCAAAAAAAGTATTAATTATTCCAGTGAAATCAAGCAATGTATATATACACCATTTAAGCAGTATTCATCGTTTTCTGTTGTATGCTAATGACATCAAGAGAACAAATGATCCCTGCAAAAAAAAGAAAGAGAACAAACGACCTTCTATGCAAAAAAGAACAAATAAGTACTACTATTGATATATGACTGAAAGGAACAAACACCTGCAAAAAAGAAGAACAAATAAGTACTACTATCAATCTGCAAGGGGCTCACCTGTCTCCAACACCTAAAAATTCAGTTTTGGAAGGGCGAGGCCAGGAAACTAACAGATGATCAAGAGAGTGCGCTTCTGCTCCACAAGTCCCTGCAAGAGCTAGTGTTTGAGGGTTGTGAGTATATCGTGCATCTTCCTGCAGGACTGCACAGCCTTCCTGCCCTCAAGATATTGAAGATCAAAATCTGTTGCAACATATTAAGGCTTCCGAAGGAGGGACTGCCACCTTCGCTGGTGGAACTGGAAATCGACGATTGCAGCGTTGAGTTGTCAGAACAATGCAGATTGCTAGCAACAAGCAAGCTAAAGGTCAAAATTGATGATGACTATGTGCTACTTGCTGTTTACAGTGGAGCTCCTCTACAAACTTAAAATTTTCTTTCATTTACAGTGCTACTTGCTGTTGCAACAAACATTGCTGCTGTAAAGATACATTCCAAAAATAATTGCACATTCAATCTTTTTTTACATGGTGCAGAAATACAACTTTCTTCAGTAGGAGAAGGAAAGCACATAGCAGGGTTTGGTGGTGGTCCAGATCATAGCTCTGTGCGGGGTCACATGGGAAGGCCAGGCGTTCGGATCGGGTTCGGATTAACTGTGAGTGCCAACGTCCTGGTTGTCCCAGTTCGGGTGCTGCGATGGATTTGGGAGGAAAGGTGCTTCAGCAAAAGTAGCAGCCATCAGTAAGTATGTTTTATCATTTTTTATAGCTGCATTCGGGTTCACTTCGGTTCGGGTTGGTGCGTCATTAAGCAGGGGAATTAGCATTAACCAGATGGGTCACTATCCTTTGCCTTTGGCTCCACAACAACTAAACTGTTCGGGTTCGGTTCGGATCGACATAGTAGATAGATAAATTCAGTTCTTTGCGTACATGTGGATGGCGACAGATTTGGTTTGTCGGTTAAGGCGACTGCATCGCTCGGGTTCAATTCGGGTCAGGTTGCTTGAAGCAGGGACCCAGCATTGACCAGGCGGGCTCGTGCTTTCCCAGCACTGCTAATGTCCCTTCAGATCGACCATGTGTATATAGTATAAATAGCCTTCGAAGTGGCTGCAAAGGTGCAGGCTTCCTGCACCATTCTCCAAGACCAAAATCTCAAATCTGCTGTTGTATCCATCCTTCCTCTTGTCTGCGTGGTGGCATTCAGGGGCTTTGTTGTCCTGAGGAAGGTGAAATAGCTAAAATAATCAGCAAAGAAAGAACTATCATGTTACACGCCACGTGACGACCCTACTGACTGGGATGAATGAATCTTTCTTCAAAAATTGAACTCGGAAACTTTTCTCAAGAAGGACAAAACTAACTAGATCATCTTTAATCGGCATATGAGCAGCAGAAAATAATTGAACTATCAATTTTGAGAAAAATCTTCAAACAAGAAGTCACTTATGAATAAAATGGTCTCTTGGTTGTTTTTTCTAAGTAGCTAGACAAGTCCATTTTTTCTGAAGACCAGACAATCAGTGAGAAGATAAAGAATTATACAATAGATTCAAGGACTAGAGAAATCTAGTTAATATTTCCAGATTATATTGAATAGAATAGATAATGATTAACTGAGATTTTGCAAAATTATAGCCCTTTCTTTCGTGATTCAAACAGCTAGACATACATGAGTCAAGAATACAATCAGTTCTCTGGACTCATGTATTTTCAATTTTCATTGAACTGTTTGAAAACAGAGCAATACATGAGCTATTTGTGATTCAACGGTGAAAGCACTACTGAGACTGCTTTTGCTAACTCCATAATACACACACATCTTCCTTGCACAATAGAAGGATAGAAACATCATCATGATTCAAGAATAATAGCAGCAAAACATGAAAACCATTCACAAGAAATAGCACAAAGAATGATATGGCATCACAAACATCATCATGATTCAAGAATAATAGGAGCAAAACACAAAAACCATTCACAAACCATCACAGAACTTAGAACCCGAGTGAATCCGATCGGGTTCGCTCCTTGATTCCAGTGGCAACTAATTAAGTATCATGCACACACGGCTTGACCTGGTTGGTGGCTTTGTCACGCATGGCATGGGGACACAGCTTGTCCTTTTCGTCAATGCACCTTTCCTCCATCTGTGATGCTCCACCACTTGAATCCGAACCGAACCCGAAGACTATTATGCAGGCCTATCTGCTGGACAGAGACATATTGATTAATTATCTGTAGAATGCTAAGCATACATAGCGCTCCAGTCAGTTTGAGAAATGTCCTTTCGTACAGAACATTTTGCTGAAGGACATACTGATTATACTATTATATTATTCCATTGAAACTGAACATTTTCCTTGTCTTGTACAGTAGAGAATTAGTGATGGATACTCGGTTGTCTAGTTTTTTGGCAGCTCACTCCGTGTGTAAGGGGAACTTAAACAATTCTGAAGTTACTGTTAGGAAACGGAACGTGCATTTGATGGATAATGTTGTTTGTGCATTAAGCCCAAAAATGCTGAGAAGCAAATCCATGGCTTGGGTGTCTACAGTGCCTTGTTTTTTGGATAGTATGGGGCCTTAGAACAACTTAACAGGTGCTTTAACAGACCAAACCGAACAGAAGAGTGGAAAACACAAACCGAACCCGAAAGGAAACCCCGCGTGGTCAATCCCTGCTCTAATTGCCCATTTTGCCATTTAGATTAAGACAGCGACGTGGCACATTGACTTAACCCATGAATCCAACCCGAGAATTTCTTAAATTAAGTTATTTGCGGAGTGCTAAGCAGGGGTGTGGGAAAATTAGTTTCTAGAATGGGAGAATCCAAAATACCGTTTACCATATGATAATTGATAAACAGGGTCAAATGTGATAGAAGTAAATTTTAGAGAACAGAATATTGCATTTTGGAATGCAAATATTTGAACTACGTTTGCTTAACCATATTTGGCTGGCTGGTAGCTTAGATGTTGTGGTTCAAAGACTAAGTAAGCAGCAGGTAGCAGGGCAGTGGAAGTACTCCCTCTGTAAACTAATATAAGAGTGTTTAGGTAACTAAAATAGTGATCTAAACGCTCTTATATTAGTTTACGGAGGGAGTAGTATACTAGTATTTGGTTCTCAACACAGCAGAGGGTGACACTGACGGCGACTACACCGATCGGGTT